TCATTAGGGAAGTCCTGAGTCCCAGGAGCTGAAGTTTATGTCCCGATTTATCTCCACACCTCTGTGCTATGCAGGGGAATGCTTAAAACTCTGTTCTTCAAGCCAGTTGGCCAGGAGAGCAGGGTTCCCAAAAGGAAACATTGCGTCCTGTTTTTAAATAAAATGTAAAATTTCTTTTTTAAACACAAAAAATGAGACCTGAGAGTGGTGGCCCTTTTTTCCTCAACTAGCTCTAGTCTCTTTTATTCCCTCCTTGTATTTGAAAGTCTCCTGTCAGCACTGCAGTTCTGGTGCATAGTAAAGCTCAGGTACAGCAAAGTTCTTGAGAAACAATATGCATTAAAACAAAAACCTTTTTCCCCCAATATTTTGAACATCATTTGAAGACATTTTCCCTAAATATAATGTAAAGAGCATTGGAAAGATGAGGGGGGGTTTGTTTGTTTGTCCTTGTTTGTATTGCCTTTAGCAGCAACATTTTAAACTATTAGGCTGGACTGTATTCCTCAGGCACCTGGAGAAACAGTGAAGTTGGAAGTAATTTTATTTTTAGACTGTAAATTTCATAATGTTTTCAAAGAATATGGGAAGGGGGGGAATTCTCAGGATGCAGGACGCAGTAGGAAATTAAAATCCAGATTCAGTGACCTTTTTAGCTAAGAGCTTCTCATAGAATTAATCCAGCTCTGAGCTAAATTAATTTTTTTTCCTGAAGGATTTGTTTTCTTTGCGTGCACAGCTGTTTGGCTTTTCTGTCCTGACCCAAGTAAGCAGGTAGCAGAGGCTGGCCCTGCTGTGCTGGAGCCATTGCAGCCACCGCAGCGCAGGACAGACAGCCCCGGAGCGACTGTTAGAGCCAGACAGTGATCCACATGCTGCTCCTCTACATTAAAAAAAAAATTCTCTAAACTGGTCTGTGTTGAGAGGTGATTCTCATCTCAGTCTTGTGTGGGGATCCTCTGTTAACCATCCTGAGACTAAGCCTGTTCAAATCAGTCTTCTCTTGTGTGCTGGATTTGGGTATGCAGCTCAACTAGGAGAGGAAGACTGTTAGCAAAGACTGTTTTGTTACAAGTACTCTGTCAAGGTTGTTCCCACATGCCAGTCAAGGGCCTTCAATCAATTAGACGTGTTGAAATTCCACTTGTGATAAGTCACTTAAGCAAATAATGCCAAAACAAAAACCAAACCACCCAAACAAAAAACCAAGAACAAAACCAACCAGCTAACCAAAGGCCATTGTGTCTCACCAAAGTGCTTTGACAATGTGCATTACAGAGAAAGGAAGGACAGCCGTGCACTCGCTGGGTGCTGGGCACACGCCCCTGGCTGTGCCGAGGCAGCCGCTGTGCTCTGCTGCGCTGCCTCCATCTGCGGGCAGCCGGCAGCACATCTGCATCCTGCTGCTTGAAGGACACTTCTTTGAAACTTCTAGCTCAATGAGGCTTAGGGATATTTAAAATAACTGCAAGGTGAAAACTTTGGACTAGGAGTCACTTTAATGTACAGTTTTCCTTCGTAACTTTCAGTTTCATATCTTGCTCACTTTCGGGGTTTGGTTTGCTTTTTTTTCCCTTTTTTTCTTTTTTTTTTCCTTTTGGCCCCCCATGTGAAATGTCTGCTGCAGCGCTGTGACTTCCTGCCGCTCTGAACTCCGAGTGTTTCCTTCCTTTGGCTTGACCTCAGTGTGGTTCTCCAGCAGCAACACTGGTGATGTTTCTCTCTGTGCTGCTGGCGCTCGTACCCCTGGGCTGACGGGGCGGTTGGGTGGGAAGGATGCCATTGGGCCAGCTCCGGCGTGAAGCAGGACTGTTGCCAGCACTAGACTGAGTCCCTCATAGATGTGAAGTTCCTCTGGTACGGTGCATGAAGGTTTTATCTCCCGTTTGACAAAAGGTGGGACGGTTTTTGCTCTGGGCTTGGCACTGCTCGATAGCTGTGTGATAATGTTTGATCCAACTCACATATAGCGAGGGGACTCCGTCCCTTCTCCTTTTATTGAACTCACGTAGCTCAGGAACTCTGCAGTAGGAAAAGGTAATTCATGGCTGTCAGGTTAAAGGAGAACTCTGTTCCCGTTTCTGAAGATGAGGACGAACTTGTGTTTATCGGTGCCATTAACAGAAACACCACTGGTGAGTGTGGCACATAGAAGGTAGTGACCCACTTGGTGAGTCTCTAAACACTTAAATTAGTTGCCTTGTCCCTCGCATCCTACTTAGTTTGAATGGATACAGCTCATCTCTCAGCTTTGTGATTTTTTTTTCTTCCCTACGGTTAAAAACCCCACAATGATATGCTTGCTGCTCCCACTTTAAAGTCTATTTGGTTCTTGATTTTTGCAGCAGACCTGTTATTTCAGGCTAGGTGGCTGTGAGTGTGGGGGTGGAAGACTTTTGCTTCCATTTTTGAAGTCTTGATTGTGCTTGTTTTTATGGGGGCCTAGGTGAGATGTTGTGCAGATACAAAGCTTCTGGCAACAAATTATTTTCACATAATAACCTTTTCTCAATGTAAATGATAACCTCTTACGTGATGATTTAATATATATGCTTCTTAGATTAATATTCTCTTGAAAACTAAGCGGTGTTCCAGAAGATGCTCTTGGAAACTGTATATTCTTTCTTTGAATTCATAATATATTTTGTATTTGCAGATTTCTAAATTTTATTCTTGAATTCTCTTTTTTACGTCCATCTGTGTTTTTTATGGCTGCAGTTTCATTTCATACCTTATAGAATTTGTTAATGTGTTGGCCTGGACTATGCTGCTGATAGAGGAGGGTGAAGGTACAGAGTCGAGGTCTGTTGTGTTGCTAGCAGATCCAACCTAATTCTGCCATAAAATCATTAAAGTCTCGCTGGAAATCTGGGCAGGTAGCTCTAGGGGGTTTTTTTCAGCTATGGTGGCTACACTTTGCTTTTTTCCAGATTGAGGTCATTCCTGACCAGTTTTGGGTCATTATTCTGCTCATAATTGTCCCGCTAATTCATTTGTCCCCTGCCTTTTGTGTCCCATTACCTTCACTGTTGTACAGACAGCAGTCATAGTTCCTCTTACATTTCCTTGTGAGCTAAACAAGCAGATTTTTTTTGTTGTTGTTCTGGACTTGAATTTCTCTTTGTTTTGATCTGTCAAGAAGTTTGGTTTTATAATAATGTGACCTTGGATTTATCTTAAGAAAGGAGCGGCTTTAACCTCTCCCAGATTTCTGAGAGACATGGCCCAAGATTATTGTGTTAGAAACCCTCAGGAATCTCCAAATTACATTTTGTCACGTCATTATAGAAAATGAAAATGGCTTCTTAGTTAAATGTTTAGCTGAATCCAGAGGGATTCTTGGCCCCAGCTGCACTTGGAAAGTTACATTTTTGTAAGGAAGGAATGTGTGTTATGTTTATTTTATTATTTTGATACACATTTGCATTTCCCAGAAACATAAAGAAGCCCAGCCAAAATGATCAGTTGCCTCTGAAATGGTCTTTGTTAAAGAATGAATGTCCTTCGCTCATCCCAGATCCCAAAAAAGGGGCAGTGTTCCGCACCTGCAGGACCTGCAGCACCGAGGGCAGGTTTGCAGAGTTGCAGGGGACCCAGGGGCCCAGCCTTGGAGCCTGTTGGGTTTAGGAGCAGCCTGGGGGATACAGAGCCTCCTGAGAAGGGATGGAGACCTGCAGATCCTGCCCAGCAGGTCTGGAACTGGCTGCGCAAGGCTGGGAAGGCTGGTGAGCCTTGTCCTGTCGGCTGAAACAGAGCTGCTGGAGTTGGGGATGCTGGAGGAAGGAGAGCGGCTCTTTCCATCCTGGCTCCGACTCCTTTTCCTTCAGTCCCTCTTTGCGTCAGTGCATATTTGAGGTGTAAAAAAAATAACAAGCAATTCCACCGCTTTGGTTTCTAAGAGGCACAGATGTTGGCTCATCTGTGGCCCTGTGAAAATACGCCAGTGTTTTTGCAGAAATCTGTGGGAGGCTTGCTTGTGGGCGGTGATTTTTTTTTTGTTTGTTTCTCCTCCTTGTTGCAGAAGGTCAATGCAGCAGCAGTTTTCTCCTTTATCTCTGTTACTTGGCTGGTAGCAGCAACAGAACTTCATAGACTCAAAAAGCAGCACAGCGTTTAGAAAGTTTACTGGAAAATACCGTGAATGGTGCCTAGAAGTGGCTCTGTCAGTTTATGAGAGAAGCTGATGTGGGATGCTTAAAACCATCTCTCTTGTCGGTTTTGGCTCATGTTAAAACTTGTGGAGTAATAGCCAGGATGTGCTAAAAAATGTGCATGGGACAAGGTTTGTAGCCAAACACTACTGTTTCTTATTAGAGTAATTCATACAGCTGAGAAAAGCACCACTTGCCTGAGACTTTACCTGTGGTATTTGATCTAAAAAGATCCTTCTTTCACTTGCCTTTACACCTTGTTTTTCTTGTGGTCTTTGTTATGTGATAGAATTGCTTAAAATTGTTTATTTGCAGAAAGCCTCTGTATTAGATGTATGAAAGGAAAACCTGTAATACAAAGGAAAACCAGTGCCACTTCTTCTCTTCAGCTGACATTGATTTTTTTTCTTAGCATTAGGCATCTCCTCTGAAAATTCTTGCTTTTCCAGAATGAGTTTGCATTGGGAGGTGTTTATGGTTTGTGAATTGTGCAAAGCGATGCTGTCTTTGTAATTCAGTACTCAGTATCTTTGGGCAATCAAAGAGAGAAATATGGTTTGTTGGTACAGCAAGGCTCATGTTTTTCACCACAGTGGAATAGAAATGTATGTGCTGTGGTTCTTTTGCTGTCCTGATGGCTTCAGCCTTGGAAAGACAGACACACAAAGCAAGCTGGAACAAATTTAAGTGTTTTACACTGTACTGCAAAATGAGGCCAGGGAAGGGGATAAAATTAACAGGTTCATAAACACTGGACTATCTGACCACACTGGGCTTTTCTGGGTTTTCCATTTTGTTTTCTTTTTGAGGAAAGAAGCTAAATAAACTGGACTTCATCTCTCTCTGTAGGTGAAGTCTGTGATAAATCTGCTGTTCGCTGCCTACACAGGGGATGTGTCTGCACTCCGGAGGTAAAAATCAGTGTGGGGTTGGGAATAGGAAAGCTGCTTGTTTGGTACCCGCTGTTTATTTATGGTTAGACACTGTGTCCATGTGCCCCTCCTTCTTCCCCCCCACCCTAACCATCAAAAGGTACCCTTGCACTGTCCTGTAATCCCGTTGTTTTCCGTTTCCTTGCATTGTAGTGAAATAATTTTCCTTAACCATTTTTTTTTATAGTAGTGGCAGAAAATCCTAGCTGTACTCTTGCCTGCTTTATAGTTCAATTCTGAAATTGCTACAAAAATGCAGGCTGGAAAAACACACGTGGTTGTTGGAGTGTTAGGAAATCTACCTTTGCCATCTCGCTCTGGGGCAGAATCTGGCAACATTTAAAGTAATAGCAGTAAGAGACTAAACAAACACACTAATGTGTCTAGAATATACCTGAATATAGTTGGTGGCTGGATAAATGTGTATGGTTTAGCTCTGCTGTCCCAGAGCACTGTAGTGTGATGAAGGAACCCTCCTAATACCTTAATGCTGTTCAGGATTTTCAGATCTGGGAGTCCCCTCTGAATTTCCTCATCTGGCATAAATTTACTTTGCCTTGTATGACTTATCTTGTGCCTGTTAGATTTTAAATAAGATATGTTGGCTGCTACATTTCCTGCTAAGACATTTTATTATTCTTTATAACAGCTAGAGACCAGAAATAAAGTTAAGCCCCTACCTAATTTTTAAAGCCAAAGCAGTAAGGGTGCCTTTCATTATAACTGGAGGCATGATGTGCTCTTGGTGCCGTTTATATCCTCCTGCAGCAGAAGTTCCGTTGTTTTAGCACAGGGGTATTGTTCCATGCTCGTTCTGTAACTTGTTTTATAGTTATGTAAGGCTTTTCTCTGTCTTTTTTTTTTTTTTTTTAATTTTTTTTTTTTTTTCAGATTTGCTCTGTCAGGAATGGATATGGAACAAAGGGACTATGACTCACGGACAGCCCTGCATGTAGCCGCTGCAGAAGGTAATGTCTCCTTGTGTGTGATTTGCTCTCTGTTAATGGAACGTTGTCAGTTTTCTTTAGAGTGTCTTCACTTTCTGTATATGCATATCAGCTTTTTAAAACTTTGTATGCATATACATAAGAAATATATAAAGTATATACACTCACAAGCCTGCTTTTCCTATAGGACATGTGGACGTTGTTAAATTCCTATTGGAAGCGTGCAAAGTGAACCCTTTCCCCAAAGACAGGTGAGTGGTTTTATTGCTAGTTTGGAGGAGAGGAGCTCTAACAGCATCCCTCTAGGTGCTGTGAGGAGAGGTGTCTGTCAATCAGAGTGGACTGCATTGAGCCAGCACGCTGAAGCAGAAGGAACAGGATCCTACTGGTTCTCTGTAGGTTCTGCACAGCAAACAGGAATAAAAAAATGGCAAAACCATTAAAACCATTATTTAAAAGGTTATGCTCAGCTTACAAGGTGTTTTCATAGTTACTGAACTTAGTGCGGTCTGTGTGCGTACTTATTAGCCCAGAATGTAAAGAACTAGATTTTTGGTGCTTTTGTACCTCTGTGCTGATCGTGGATACTGTGCTCCCTCCTTCCTGTAGGTGGAATAACACTCCTATGGATGAAGCTTTACATTTTGGACACCATGATGTATTTAAAATTCTTCAGGAATATCAGGTCCAATACACGCCATCAGAGGATTCCAACAACGGAAAGGAGAACCGAACGGTTCATAAAAATCTCGATGGCTTACTATAATCACCTTCAGCTAGATCCTAAGAATCAAATCACTTGCCCATTTAATTGTGGTATGCATAAGTAATGAAGAGCGTGTGTGTTTCTATCTGATAGTGGTATATATTTTACAGAAGTCTCTGTTACTTCAGTGTTGTTACAGGAGTTTCTATACGCACAGGACAAATCCAATCTCTCAAAAGAAACAAAACCAACCAAGAATCTCCCTCCATAATGTGAGCAATATTACCTCATGCTGCATATAATTGATGTATAAAAATATTTAGCTGTTGTTGGCTTTACCGTGCACTACTTAATTTATTTTTGTGTTCTATGTGAACTCTGTAGTCTGTGGTCAGGAATTTTTCTGCTGATTTTTTTTTTTCATTTCTATAGCCCTCTGTTTCCAGTATGGCCAAGATGAGCCAGAGTACTGTCAGGTATGAGCGTCAGTGAGGTTTTTCAAAAGCTGTGGATCCTGATGTAGTTTTAGGCTGGGTGTGTTAAGTAAGGATCTGCACTTACTTTTGGGAAAAAAATTTTTAAAAAATTCCACACAACCTTGTTTACATAATATAAGTATCACCGGAGTCTATAGGTGACAGTTGTCACTGGTCTAGGCTTGTTCTTAGAGATAGTCTTGTCAGGGAATCTGTTTTAAGGTTTGTTTGACCAAATGGCATAGAGGAATGTGACTTGTAACATCTAACAGTGTTTAGTGGTTTTTTTGTTTTTGAAGCATTTTTTTGGTTCCCTTTGTCTCGCCTCCCTCCTCTCTCTCCACGTTCAGCTGCTAAAGTACTTCCCCAGCCCTGGGGAAAGCGGGTGCTTCCACTCTACGCAGCCATGTTCCTCGCAGGTATATTTGCACTACAGCAAGCCTCGACAAGCTGCAAAAACCCCCTTTTGGGCTCCTGTGTGGTGGGTGTTCTTGGCGGCTGCACCACGAACCAGCGAGGGGAATGGGTCTGTGAACGGCAATGTACTAAACCAAATATTACATGGAAACCTGGCTTAATTTAGGCTTCTAATAAGGAACACCGATGGAGCAAAACAGCTTTAAGGAGCATAGAGCCAATCAAAGCATGAGCAGAGCAGGAGATGAGCCAAATTTTTGGGTATGTTCTCTTTTTGCACTACCATCACCCAGGGAGCAGGATTTTTACATCAGTGGGATTGCACTGGTGTAGAACAAGAGTTCAGCTACAGGAGCACAAGTCGGTGATGCCTTGTGTGGTGAAGGGTGGCACTTATTGTCTTGCCACCAAAGCCAGCTTGGCATGTGCCCCATTGTGGGAAATGCAGATGCAGATTTTTGTTGTTTGCAGAAGTACAATGTTACGACAGTTCCCTGTCCCGTGTGCAATTGTTTCTGCCGACCCTGCGGCATAAAACCTCGGAAGTGAGCAGTCACTTGAAGTTAAGAGTTAGACATTCACAAAACACCACAGTAGTTCACAGTAGTTGGACACAGGCAAGAATTTTAGCACAAGAATTTTAGGCAAGAATTGTTTAGTACATGGAGAAGGAGATTGTGCTTGAGAACGGTGTATATGGCTATTTTTTTCCTAGCACATAGTGTACAAGTCATTAGTAGATCTCAAAGTTCAAATTTTCTGTTTAGGCACCAAAATTCTCCTGAAATAATGCCCAAATTCCTTCTAGAATGGCCCAAGCACTTTATAAAGATGATCTGAACCCCATTATCCTCCTTTTGCAAATGAGTCCACTAAAGCATAGAGAGCAGTGACTTCTCCAGAGTGACCCAGCAGGTCAGTGTTGTTGAGAAGAAATCCTCTCGAGTTCCTGTACAGTCTCTCATCGCTATGCCATACTGTCTCCCTGAGGGGAGGACAGACCACATGGAAGAGTGCTTGATACTCATCACAAGCAGTGACTGTCTTCATGAGGATGAAATCTTGGAAGAGTCTGAAAGTCTGGAGCCCTGACATCCCATTCTGAAGCTGGCTGGCATGGTTATCAAACACTTTTTCTCAAGAATCTTACTGTTCTTAAGCTGCTTTTTTTTTCCTACCCTTTTTTTTTCTGAAGATCAGCTGTTTTTCTGAAGGCTTTTAACCCGTTCTTTCCACGTCCTATGTCACAGCCACCATAGTTCTAATCAAGAACCAAACGAAATGGCCTCTGGCTCTTTATTGAGCCACGTTGGTCACTGAGTAGCACAAGGCCTCTTCTCTGCTGCACCCTGAACTAAATTCCAATGTTTTCTCTGGCACCAGATCTGTCACCTTTAGCGTAGAGGAATGTTTTACGATGGACTCTAGTTTAGGATTCTGCAGCTTAGTGCTAATCTGACTTCTTCCACATTTTTTTCCTATTGAAACATATCCTTTGGCTTCTCAGAAAAATACCTGATTTAGCTTTATTTAATGGAAATTTGCATTGTTCATTCTGGCATTTTTAAAAGATAGGTATATTATATAATACACATATATACAAAAAACCAAAAGAAGGCATTTTAACTGAGTTACCATTAAAGAACATGGCTGTCCCTAAACTTAATGCTTTCCTGAGTCATACTGAGTGCTTTTAGCCGGTCTTAGCTTCAGTGCATTTTTGCTGCTTAGTTTTAGTATTTTCTCATTGTGAGAAGATGCATTATTTTGTAATGTCCAATTCAGCAATGCAGCTATTTAGACATGGCGTTATTTATAAATATATGCAGTACCTTGGTTTGGCTGTTTATCATTCATGACACTGACATGTAGATTTTACCATAAATAGCTTTTGGTTATCTTTATTAAATGCTGACTTCCTTATGCTCCAAAGAGGATTCCCCCACTCCTTTGTTTTTATGTTATATATGTTTCTTCTGTATCACAACCTAAAATCGTTAAGCTAACTTAATGCTTTGTACTCAGAAACATTGTGATAGTCTTAGCATTAGTTAGCCTATCTTTGTGAACAAAATGTATTGTACCAGATTTTTTTTTTTCCTTCAGAGCTGGACTATCAGTGACTATACTTATTGGCAGTGTACTTCTGGTCATTGTAACTGATTGGGCTGATCTTGACCTTTTAGATTCTGTAATGTGGGGAATAGACAGTGATGAATGTATTTCTAGCAGTTTCCCATGAATGAATCTAAACTTGAGCTGTACTGGTTCTGAAAATGAAAGTTATTTATTTTAAGAAATAAAATCCAGATAGTGTTGCTTTTTACAGCATAATAAATGGAAATACCAAGATGATGATGACAGTGTGCATTTTATTGGTTATCTGTGTGACTGCTGTTGAAGTAAGCCTTTAGTCATCGGGAAGGTTGTCCAGGAAACCCTGCTCTGGTCATTTCCATTGTGCAAAGCTTACAGGAAATCAGAATGAGTTAATCTGATCTCACTTTGCTTTTTTTCGTTTTTCTTTTTAGCTACACTTCTAGAGCTATGTCCTTTCACAGGTTCCTTTTTGTTAACGCTGGGATGCTGAAGTGGACTGGCTGTGTGCCCTCAAGAGCTCTGGCTTTCTCTTGCCTACTCTTCACTCCTGCTATCCTTCGTCTCACAATCAGTTTTTCCTTTTATTATTCTTCTGGCTGTGTAGTTAATGTAAGAGCCTGACAAGTGTGAGACAAGGGATCATGTCACTTAGTAGCCTCAGATAAAAATGGTACAGCAGCGGGCCAGCTTGATAGCTCACAAAGTTTAGCTATAAACCAGTTATCCCACTCCAATTGGAAATTCAAGTTGGAGTTTATTGAGATAGCTCACAAAGTTTAGCTATAAACCACTTATCCCACTGATCAACTCCAACTGGAAATTCAAGTTGGAATTTATTGAAGTTTGGTTGGGGAAGAAAAATAACCAGTGCTGTGATACAAGCAATAATAACACTAAAATTATTCTAACAGCCACCTTCTAAGAACTCTGTAATGCAGACTGACCTATAACACTGCTGTGAATTAACAGCATCGATACTGCCTTAGACTTCAAAGCTGTAACTGTTTAGTTGCACAAACAAGTTTAAAATGCGATCCACAGTAAACTATTGTCAGACAACACCTCATCATAACAGAAGTAGCCAAAACACAAAAGGAAGGACAAAAGTGCCAGCTGACAGTTCCATTTATTTAAAATGGCAAAAGAATATTCCATCGAGGAAAGAAACAATGCTTTTAGAACTATTTGCCGTGTAAAGACAATGAATAAGGCCACTGCTTGAAATCTCACAAGCAAATTTCACCTTGGTTTATAAAACTGTAATATTAAAGTAATGAAAAAAAACTGCTTGTACATGAGTACAAAGTGTAGCTCAATTGTATTACAATATAGATTCAGTTCTGCTATTTATCATAAAAGCACTAAGTCACCAGTTGTGATATTCCGTAGCACTGTTAACCTCAGCAACGCAGCGTACCAAAAATAGGTCAGTTTAGCAATGCTTTCAATTCAAACATGTATGTTGCGTGCTCTAGGTCCTTTAAATTTTCTTTCTCTCTGGCTTTTGCAGGGGGCACATCAGTCTTCCTGGGCACAACACACTAAACTGCACCAGTCAATTTATTTTCTAAGCAGCAGCGGGTTGACCTAGCATTTCTGCATGGCAGAGAATTTGCTCTGCCATCCCTGTAAGTCATGCTGGCCGCTGCAGCAGTGGGTTGAAAAGCTGCAGTAGCACCTGTATCACCAAGTGGTTGAGGTTAGAGGGGACCTCTGGAGGTCATCTTGTCCAATTCCCCTGCTCAAGCAGGGCCACCTAGAGCCAGCTGCCCAGCGTGAGGGCTCTGCAGTCCCTCCGCTCAGCTGCGCACTCATTGGTGGTCTGGACTAATACATGTCCTTAGTCCAGGACTTGCAGCTGCTTAGGACAGCCTTGCCTCTTAACTGTCAGTTGTTAATTATCTTCAAACATGCTGAGAAACAAACCTTCACTGCTTTGCTTTCCTGTGCCTTATCCCTAATTGCAAAAACACTTCATTATTAAAGCCTGTAGGGTACTCTTGCTATTCAAATCAACACTTAAATAAATGCCCGTGTTCACAGTGTATGATAAAATTAAGTTCCATTCCACCTGCTGTAACCTAAATGGGGCATGTATTATTGTAAAGCATCTGTCCTCACCTTGGTACATTAAGCACAGTGAGTTAAAACATACTCCAACCCCTTTTGCACTCTTTAAGAGTAGGTTCTCATTTTGTCCGATAGTGCTGCTAGGCAGCATGACTGCAGTCTGCAGAGGC